CATCATCAACATCGTCAGCATCAGCATCATCAGCACCATCGGCATCATCATAATCATCGGCAGCATCAGCAGAACCAGCATCAGCAGCATCGTCAGCAGTATCGCCTTCATGATAATCAGTATCAGCATCATCAGAATCATCATCAGCAGCAGCATCATCAGCATCAGCGTCATCATCATCTTCATCAGCAGCATCATCATCGTCATCATCATCGTCATCAGCATCCCCCTCCTCCTCCTCCTCCGCCTCCTCCTCCCTCCTCCTCATCCTCCGCTTCTTCGTCTTATAAATACTAATATCAGCTTCCTGTCTAGTATTAGTCGTATTAGTCATCTTCCTCCTCCTCCTCCACCTCCTCCCTCCTCATCCTCCTCCTCCTCCTCATCCTCCTCCTTCTCCTCCTCCTCCTCCTCCTCCCCCTCCGTCTCCTCCTCCTCCTCATCCTCCTCATCATCATCCTCTTTATCTCCTCTCCTCCTCCTCCTCCTCCTCCTCCTCCTCCTCCTCCTCCCCCCCTCCCCGTCTCTCCTCCTTTTCCTCCTCCTCCTCCTCATCCTCTTCCTCCTCCTCCTCCTCCTTCTCCTCCCTCTCGTCCGCCTCCTCCTCCTCCTCCTCCTCCTCCTCCTCCTCCTCCTGCGTCCCCTTCTCATCTCTCTTCCTCCTCTTCCTCCTCCGCCTCCTCCTCATCCTCCTTCGCCTCTTCCGCCTCCGCCTCTACCTCTGCCTCCGCGTCCGGGATTCCACCCCAAGAGAGCTGGGATCACAGTCGACACCTCCACATGTTGCCCCCTGTAGGGAGGTCATTGGCTGTGGATGTCAGAACAAATCCGCCTCCTCCGCCTCCTCCGCCTCCTCCGCCTCCTCCGCCTCCTCCGCCCCCCCGCCTCCTCCCCTCCCTCCTCCTCCTCCTCCTCCTCCTCCTCCTCCTCCTCCTCCTCCTCCTCCTCCCCTCCTCCTCCTCCTCCTCCTCCTCCTCCTCCTCCTCCTCCTCCTCCTCCTCCTCCTCCGCCTCCCCCCTCCTCCTCCCCCCCTTCCCCTCCTCCTCCTCCTCCTCCTCCTCCTCCTCCTCCTCCTCCTCCTCCTCCTCTCCTCCTCCTCCTGCTCCTGCTCCTCCTCCTCCTCCTCCTCCTCCTCCTCCTCCTCCTCCTCCTCCTCCTCCTCCTTCTCCTCCTCCTCCTCCCCCTCCGTCTCCTCTCCCGCCTCCGATCCTCCTCCCATCCCAGCTCCCCCCCCATACAGCTCCCGACTCATCCCTGCCCTTTCTCACTCGACGCCTTTGCACTCCCTGCGCCAGGCCCCTGGGCAGCAAGAAGCTGCACTCAAGGGCAGCAAGGGCTACCCTTTTTGGCTGCGAGCAGCAGGCCTGCCATTTCCTCGAAGCGCCCACTGATCGGACGAGAACGGGAAGCGCCGATTCTGCCATGTGGGCTCGTGGGAGGAAAGAAGAGCAGGATGATGGCGACGGCAAGTCGACGGATGACGAGGATGGCAAGGTGGATGACGGGGAATGCAGCGAGGGGAGCAGGAGGACAACAAGTAGGAAGACCAGCACGAGGACGAGGAGGAAGAGATGGCTCGGCTCTGCTCTGCTCCAGTGAGGCAAAAGTCACGCGACCTACGGAGACTACTTGGGGCAACCCCCTCATCAGTGCTCGGCTGCCCCGAGGGATAGGTGCCAACGGCTGTGAACACAGCATCAGCCGACACACGATCAGCAGTATCTCTGAAGCCTCCGTCGCACGCTGCGGCACGCACGCTGAGACAAGCACTCGGAGCGTGCGGTTGAAAAATCCGTGCATGAGGCACGACGCCTCTCCAAAAAAACATGTCGATTTCACGTGCAAGAGGAAGAGGTGGAGGAGGACGAGTACGAATACGAGGAGGAACGAAACAGAGGAGGAGGAGGAGGAGGAGGAGGAGGAGGAGGACGACGACGACGACGACGAAGGAGGACGGTAAGGAGGCGAATGCAAAGGACGTCGAAGGAGGTGGGGTTCTCGTGATCTTTCGAAGCCAATTACCCTGGGGGGTGTTGGGGCCGCCTGGGGCTATTTTGGAGCAGCCTGGGGGCCTCTTGGGATCCTGGCGGGGTCATTTTGGAGGCCACCGGAGTCATCTTGAGCTCTTCGGGCGTGTCTCAAGGTTCTGTGGGGGCTCTCTCAGGCTGTCTTGGCGCCATGTTGGGCTGTCTTGTGCCGTCGGGAGGCACCCTGGGGCTCTCTTGGGGGCCTCTTGGGGTCCTCTGTGGGTCCTACGGGTTGGGCCACGGTGGGCATCTCCAGGAGCGATTCCAAAACGATGTTGATTCGGAGCCCGCTCCGAGGCCATGTGTTTGAGGATGTCCCGAGCGAAACGGCCAGGGAAACCCCCTGACCTTTGCGCACTCTGCCGCTCTCCCGCCGCGCCCGCGGCGCTGCCCTGTGCCGCGGACTGCCACAAAGGATGGGGGGCCTCGAAGTAGATCGTGTCGTCCCACACGTTCGCGGCATCCTCGTTCACCTTGGGCGGCGCGCAGGCCCTGGACCCCTGGCGCCGTGGCAAACCAACACGGGCACTCTCGCGCCGCTTCGGAGCCCAGGGGCTCTCGCGGAGCGACTGGCCCGAAGCCAGCCGACCGCCGGCGGTCTGGGAAGGGGGCCCCCGTCGGGGCAGGGCGGCCCTCTGAGAAGGCCCAACGCTCGCCAGAGCACGCGCAGGCGCGTGGCTGCCTCAAGGGCGTGACCCTTCTGGGAGCCCCGTGCCTGCCGAAGAAGGCCGCCCTTCGTGCACCCCGGCCCCTCTTGCACGTCGCTGACGTATGGCGCGGGCATGGGGCGAGTGATCCGACCGCTGGCAAGCGCATAGGCGTCCCCACTTGATCTCCCCGGTGCCCGTGGCTAGGGGCGCCATCGGGAAGCCTGCATCCTCTTCGTCGCAGTCACCTGCCCTTGGAGATACGTGTCCATCGAGTTCGCCCAACATGGAGGAGCTCACACTCTGGCATTACTCTGACATGATGATGGCTCGCTCTGCGCTGCAGCGTTGCTAAATTAGACAAAGCACCAAGACGAACTCCACATGAATTCCACAAACTACAATGTTAGCAGAGGGTAGGAACGACAACACTGAAAGCGGAAGTTACCTTAGACGAACCTAGACAGCACAGGCCAGAAAAACTTGTGCAGAAATGTTTGCGGACCATGCGTTTGGGCATTATTGGACGGCTTATCTTCAACTTTAGGTACTGGTGCGGCATCGTGGTGCCGCATGAGACGGTGTTGGGGCCATTTCGAAACATCTTGGGGCCAACTTGGAAAGTCTCGGAGCTGACTTCAGCCGTCGTCCTGCGCCCCCAGCACTAACTGAGAAAACGAGATGCCCATCTGGCGGTCGACGGGCTGATGGACGGGCAGAGGGGCCCAAAGACGGGCACCCAACCCGCAGGGGTACCCACACACAGTCGGCTGGCTGTGTGTGGTGAGGGCCCCAATAAAAGTCACCCAACCAGCGAGATCCCCGTCCGGCGGAGGATGGGCACGGAGGGTCCCGCGGAGGCGGGATGCCCATGCGGCGGCTGATGGATGACCCACGGAAGGAGACCAAACCAGCGGAACGTCCATTCGGCGATGGAGGGGAAAGGGCTGGCGAGCGCAAGGGTGCCCAGCCAGCGCTGGATTGGCATGTGATGGCAGGGCGGGCGAGGGGACCGCACAGCAGGCACGGTATCGCGCGCGGGAACGCTTCTACGACCCACCCCAAAGAGGCAGCTGAAACCGTTTGCTGCTGCAGAGGCGTGCCGGACCCGGCCCCCAAAAAACAACACGACCACAGCGTCAACTGCCCAGAAATGTGAGTGTGCACGGCGGTCTGCCCGTAAATGCTGCACCTTCTCGTCGATCGCCTACCATCGTGGCTCGCGACGCGCACACACAAACACACACACACACACACACATACACACACACACACACACACACACACACATTCCTCTTCCTATATTTTTACAAACCTGGGCGGGGGAAAACCCGTCACACCCCCCGCACACACACACACACACACACACACACAAAACCGGACTCCCAGGATCTGGGGCTTTGGGAACCTCCAGACGGGCCTCGAAGCAGCCCCCGGGCCTCGCAGGGCGTTTTGCCAAGCCTTCAAGATGGCCCAAGAGGCCTCCAGGACGGCCCCAAAGAGGCCTCCAAGAGCACTCCCAAGAAGGCCCCCCGAGGCAAAAATCATTGATTTTCTTTTGGTTTTTGGTGAATTTCGGGGCTCTCCTCTTCTCGGCTTCCCGACGCTCCAAGACGGCGGTCTTCTGGGCGTCCGAAGCCGCCTGGGAGGCTCCCAAATCGCCCCACAACCATCCGAAAGGGCTTCAGGCAGTCCAAGAGAGCCCCCAAACGGCACAACACGGGTCCAAGATGGCCCTCAGAGAGCCCCATTAACAGGGGATGCGTCCACCCCTATCCCAGGCTCCGTGAGGTTTTCGAGAGGATCAACAATTTGGGGCCCAACCCTGGGATATACGAGGGGGGGGCGTCCATCCTCGACAGGGGTGCGTCCGAATAGCCCCCTCGGGATGTATCCCACGATTCCTCCCCTTTTCTGAGCGACCAAACTTTTCTGGCGGAAGTCGGGGATTGGGGGAGAGAAATCGCCTGCGACCCATGGCGGCCCAAGATGGCCCAAAAACACCCTCCGAAGCATTCGAAATCGCGACCCGGTCGTTCAGGGATACCGCGGTTGGAGGCAGGGTGGCCCGAGGAAGCCCCCGGATGCCCCCAGAATACGCCCAGGAGGCCTCCATCAGCCCTTCAGAAAGCCTGAAACAACTTTTGTGAGGCCCCCAGAGGCTCTCCAAGGAGGAGCCTCCGCAGAAAAGAGCTGAGGAGGATGGGGAGTGTGCGCAGGGTATGGCGAAAATAAAAAACAGAAGCATGGAGAAAGGATAACGAATAACATTATTATAGCGGCGATGCCGGAAAAGGCAACAATGAGTTATCGCTAAATTGTCGGCTTGACCTTCCTGCTATTTCGCCGGCATGCCAAACTTCAAGGACCAAGGTGCATGGCGCGAAGCGCCACTGCACTCTTGTGTGAATAGATATGTATATATATATATATATATGTATATACGCATACATATATATATATATATGTGTGTACGCTGGCGGCTGGGCAGAGGATGACTGCTCCGGCGGAATGGCAACAGGGGACCACGCTGTATGCAAATTACGGCCGCAGCACCCGACGGAGGAGGAGGAGCCCCGGCGCGACAGGGGGAGAGGAAGCAACCCACATCTATATACATATATAGCTACAAGACTGCAGTGGCGCTCCGCGCCATGCACCTTGGTCCTTGAAGTTTGGTATGCAGGCGGAATGGCAGGAAGGTCAAGCCGACAATTTAGCGATAACTCCTTGTTGCCTTTTCCGGCATCGCCGCTATAATAATGTTATTCGTTATCCTTTCTCCATGCTTCTGTTTCCTTATTTTCGCCATAGCCTGGGCATTCTCCCCATCCTCCTCAGCTCTTTTCTGCGGAGGCTCCTCCTTGGAGAGCCTCTGGGGGCCTCACACAAGTTGTTTCAGGCTTTCTTAAGGCCTTCTGGAGGCCTCCTGGGCGTATTCTGGGGGCATCCGGGGGCTTCCTCGGGCCACCCTGCCTCCAACCGCGGTATCCCTGAACGACCGGGTCGCGATTTCGAATGCTTCGGAGGGTGTCTTTGGGCCATCTTGGGCCGCCATGGGGCTCTCTGAGGGCCATCTTGGACCCGTGTTGTGCCGTTTGGGGGCTCTCTTGGACTGCCTGAAGCCCTTTCGGATGGTTGTGGGCGATTTGGGAGCCTCCCAGGCGGCTTCGGACGCCCAGAAGACCGCCGTCTTGGAGCGTCGGGAAGCCGAAAAGAGGAGAGCCCCGAAATTCACCAAAAACCAACAGAAAATCAATGGTTTTTGCCTCGGGGGGCCCTCTTGGAAATGCTCTTGGAGCCCTCTTTGGGGCCGTCCTGGAGGCCTCTTGGGCCATCTTGAGGTCACGTCGGTCACCCTTGAAGCGCTCTTGTGCTGTCTTGGGAGTCTCTGGGACGTCTCCGATGACCCTCCTGATCGCCTTTGGTGTGCTGGGAAGGCTTGGCAAAACGCCCTGCGAGGATCTGGGGGCCGCTTCGAAGCCCGTCGGGAGGGCCCCAAAACCCCAGATCCTGGGAGTCCAGTTTTGGGGGGGGGGAAGGGTTTTCCCCCCGCCCGGGCTTGTAAAAATATAGGAAGAGGAATATGTGTGTATGGCTATAGCTATAATTATAGGTATAGCTATACATGTGAATATACACCTACACAGATCTACATACATATTTATATATATACATATATATATATATATACACAACCACCCTTCGGGTGATAAGGAGGTGAGGGGGGGGAGGGACCAACGTCGCACTCGATCGATCTCACTATCGAATTCACTACCGATCTCACAATCGATCTCAACCGATGGATCTCACAATCGGTCGGACTATCGATGTCACTATCGATCTCACAATCGATCTCACATTCGGTCTCGCTATTGATCTCACAATCGATACCACAATCGATCTCACAATCGATCTCACATTCGATCTGACTATCGATCTCACTATCAAACTCACTATCGATCTCATTATCGATATCACATTCGGTCTCACTATCGATCTCATTATCGGTATCACAATCGATCTCACAATCGATCTCGCATTCGGTATCACTATCGATCCCACTATCGAACGCACTTTCGATATCATTATCGATCTCACATTCGGTCTCACTATCGATCTCACTATCGATATCACAACCGATCTCACAATCGATCTCACATTCGGTCTCATCATCGATCTCACTATCGAACTCACTATCGATCTCATTATCGATCTCAATCGATCGATCTCACAATCGATCTGACTATCGATCTCACAATCGATCTCACAATAGATCCCACAATCGATCTCGCATTCGGTATCACTATTTGTCTCACTATCGATATCACCATCGATATCACAAACGATCTCCCATTCTGTCTCACAATCGATCTCACTACCGATACCACTATCGATCTCACTATCGATATCACAACCGATCTCACAATCGATCTGACGTTCGGTTTCACGTTCGATCTCACAACCGATATCACTATCGATCTCACTATCGATCTCACATTCGACCTCACTATCGATCTCACAATCGATCCGCATCACCATCACAGCATCATCGGGACACCATCAACACCATCATCATCATCATCATCATCATCATCATCATCATCATCATCATCATCATCATCATCAGCACCATCATCATCATCAATCATCATCATCGGGACACCGACGGGGCACCGACGGGACACGGGCGGGACACCGCGGGCCCCCGGCCGCCCGGAAGGGAGACATTTGGTCCGGCCGCGCCTCAGCCACACGGGACACCAGCGGGACACCGGCGGGACACCGCAGGCCCCCAGCCGCCCGGAAGGGAGACATTTGGTCCG